AACTCCCAGCAGGACAGCAGCATCACTGGCTATTTCAACCTAATTTCGCCAGTACAGTGAATGAGATTCAATTGTTCAGATACTGACTTATTGCCCCTCTGATACTGTCCAGCTCTGAGCCCTCTGTGACTCTGCTTTGCCTTTGCTTTCCAGGCAGAATGATGCATATTCTGCTTCAAAAAGGTGGGTCACACAAAGAGTATCCAAGACTGTGCTCTGGGCAAATGAACACAGTGTCTGAGGTTTTGGTCTGTGGGATGTTTTCCAACTTTTGACAGCAGAACACTTCTGAGCAGAGATTGCACAAACAACAGTCCCTTAAATTCTAAACCTGGCCAAGCTACGAATTCTTTGGACATTATTAAGGTGATTAAATGTTTGTTATACAGGTTGATGTTGTTTTTTAGAAATAGCTGAGAATAATGAAACTGCAGTTTTACTCTCTGTTTTGGCTATAACTTTGACTTTACTTTAACAGTTGGTTTTCTAAAACCCTTCTGCAAATTGTGTAAAGAACTGCACCTTCCCTGTAACCTCGGTCTGAAGCTCAAAATGCTGCCCTGCCATGATGGGCCCCTGTCTACCGCAGACCATCCCTGACTATGGTTGAATGACAGGCTGAAGTCCATGGTCCTAATCATGACTCAGACATCAACTCCTGGCGTTGACTGCAGTGATCTGCTTTCCTTCCCTCTCTCTAAAACAGAGAGATAAAGCCAGCTTTGAGAGCACCATGAGATTTCAAGTTCATAAAAGGTTAAGTGTAAGAACAAGGAAGTGCAGTGTAATGATTTAATAGACTTCCCCATAGCATATAAAAGTCTTTGGAAGTAAATCTGACTCAGGTAATAAAAACAAGATACAATGCAAAAAGAATAAAAAATGTAGCAGTGACCTTTTGGGTCATTAATTATATTTTTGTGAGTAGGCCTTCACCAACTGGGTGTTGAACAGCACTTTACCAATGGTTCCATTGCCATGAGCCAGGTAACTGGCACAGAGATCTGCCTTCCTGTTTTGCTTTGAAAGATTGGCTTTTTGTAATCTGGGTGTTCCTAAACCAAATTTTTTCTTCTGTGAGTCTTTACACTATAGCTCAGTAGAGACTGCAAGGCTATTGCAAGATATGCAGCTCTCTCAGTGTTATCAAGGGTATTGTGAATGTTGTGGCCTTTTTGGTTTTAGCTTAAGGCTCCATTTTCTGGAATTCTGGCAGTAAATCTCTTTAAAGATGAAAATAAGACCAACAGTTTCAAGATCAAGGGAAAATAGAGCCCAGGATGCTTATACTTTCACAAAATGCTACTAAGCAGAGCCGGGACAAACCACAAGTTTGTAATCTGATTTGACTATTGATTCCACAGAGAAACTGAGAGAAGTCTTTTACTTGAGTTTGTTTCCTTCAGAGTACAAGGGAAGAGGATGGTTTGAACTATTAGGTTGCCAGTATACAACAGCAAGCAAACAAGGAAATAAATTCATGCTGGAAATTGTGGATGCCTCTTGCTGGCTGGTATTAGCTACTAGGCATGTGTACTTGCTGCCTGCCAGGCTGGAGTTGGATGGACAGTTCTGTCTGTCAGCTCTGTCTGTCCTTCTGTTACTTCTTTTCCTTCACAAAGCAGCATACCGGTTTCATACAAGGTCAAGCCCTTTGTCTTTAGAATTTTCTTTAGGTTATTAGGAGCTGTGTCAGAGGCTTGAACTCTTTATTGCTTTACGAAAATTAAATTACTTTATTGCTAGTCAAGATATTCCTCTAAATTTGTGTGGCTTCTGTTTCCTTTAGTGCAAGAATCAGGAAGAGAAAAGGTAACAGCAGCTGAGGTCTTGGTGGTTCCTTGCAGAACTGCAGCTGCGGTTTTGGCTGTGACTGTGCCCTGTCTGAGGCAAGGTCATTTCCTTCCTCAAAGGGCCAAGCGCACCAACGCCTGCACACAGCGGATGGGCTTTGGGAAGGAGCTGGGTGCTGTGCTGGGCAGCGCTCTGGGACAGGGCTGTGGAGGCTCTACTCAGGAGCAGAGTGAAGAGGTACAGAGTGTTTGCTACTACGCTGGCAGCATGGCCAAAGCTGCATTATTTTGATAAGAACTGAGTCATTTTTCAATGGGCAGTTATGCTGCTAAGATGTCAGGATTTCTCCTTTTCCTACTTCTCTTAGCAGGTTTTCTATAACTCAAAATTTATGTTTTGATTTGAGCAAGGCAAAAATTCTGGGGAAAGGTAACAACATCTCGGGGACATTTTGTCCCATTGCAAGCCACCAGCAAAACTCCCACATGCTGAAAGTCAGTCTGAGAGGAGGCACTGAAGGCTCCTCCATCGTTCTCAAGAATGGGAGTGTGACAAAGGCTGCTAAAACTGGGGAAAACCAACACTACCTTTTGGCAAAAATTGAGACTGTCATCACAAATGTGTGTTTCTGATTGAAGTTTTTAGAGATGGTAAAAAAAAGAGTATCAATTTATCTGTATTAACATAGGAAATGCAGGTTGACATTTCCTATACTGATTTTTACCCTATGTCAGTTTTCATTTAGTCAAGGTTGTGGTCTAACACATATTAGAAAGTACCTTCAAAGGATACTTCAGAAAGTGTAAAAGTTCTTTTTTTTTTTGCTTTTTGGGGGACAGGTTTTGGTTTGTGTGTTTGTTTTTTTTAGAATCGATGTCTGTTATTCCAAAACCTTTGGTTTTGTGAATAAATGCATTCAATGTGGATAGTCATAACCTTCCTGGGAAAACCAGGATGCTTATAGAGAGAAAAATAAGAGCTAAATGTGGAAGTGATTAGTATAAGATCATGAGGAGCCCTCATGACTTCAGGAAACCATGTGGCCATTTGCATTTACATCCCCTCTAACACATTCATTGTTGAAGCCTAGAATCTGTCAACAGCATAAATCAATCCCCTGCACATAACACTGAGTTCAAGTTTATTATACCATCAAGGTGAAGCTCAGCTATCCCTGCTGTCATGCTGCTTTAAATAAGCAAATAGATGAAGCTAATTTAAATATCATCTGGTTTTCAAGAGAACAGAACTCCTTGCTTATATTGCAAAGTTGTGTTGGATTGGATTGGAAATAACAGACCTGAGTGGGGAATTTTTTGAGTGAGGCAGAAGTGAAGGGAAGTGAAAACTGATACTGAGTTTTTATATAATGCATCAAAGTTTTGGCACGGTTATTGGCTTTATGAGTGTGCAACTCTATCTCCTAATGTGAATTAATTTCACCCTCATGACAGAGCAGTGAGTATTGTGCTGCAGAGCTGGGTATTATCTTTTGGGCCCTGGTGCAATGAGCCAAACTGGTATGACAGACATATCCTGACTGTTGGGTTTGCTTGTTCCTTCCTTAGAACAGAGAATGGGCCAGCCATTTATGTCGTGGTGTGAATTTATGAAAAGAATTACACAACTCAGGTGGGGATAAAACTAGTGACATTCAATGGAGACAATTTTAGTATGGTTCATAATTCCTTCTATTCCTGCTAGAAACTTCTGTAACTCCTCCCCACATTTTATAACAATACTGAAATATCAGGTGGATGTGAATGCTTCACCTACAAGTTGCTGCACTTCTGAACTCAGAAACAGTTTTAATTTTTTTCCATTTTCTGCAGATCAGTTTCTTGACATCTCTGATAGGCAGATGGAAAACTTTCCATACCTTTTTAGACACCATGAAGCAATAGAACTCAGAAAAAGATAAATTGCATTATTCTATTTTTCAAATTCAACATTAATTTACATGGCAGACCTGCTTTAAGTGATCCAAATAAAACTCTGTGTCTACAGTTAAGTGTAGTTCTGTTTGTCTGTGTATTTTTTTTAATATTAAATTGAATAATGCCTTTTATCACCTTGATTGCATTGTTCTTGGACTATTATGAAAAATTCACTCCCTTCTGTCTGTTTACCTATCTCAGATACTCATGGTAGTGCCTGATGGTATATCCTGAGTATAATTAACTATTTATATTGAAGGCAAATGAGCACAAAGGCCCATATGCAGGACATTCTGCTGGGAGACCTCAATCCCTCCCCATTTTCTGGTTTGTGTCTTGAAAACTTCTACAAACAAACAAAACAAAACAAAACAAAACAAAACAAAACAAAACAAAACAAAACAAATAAAATAAAATAAAATAAAATAACAAAACCAGCAAAGAATCCATCACCGGTTCACCATAGACTTGATGACAAGGAGGAGAGGCAAGATTGATGTCCTGTTCTTAAAAAGCTGGTGGAGAGAGATTTTAGCTGAGATTTCCCACTATTTAGCTGGTTGTTGCAGTCATTCAAGAACTGATGGTTGGAGAGGGAGGAGGGGGCAAAACACCCTCTACTTCTCTCCCTGTGTTCACTGACTATTGTTAGAACATGAATAGCAATGAAATTGGCATAATCATCCAGTTGTGAAAGCTGCAAAGCATTTGGATATTTCAACGAGCTAAGGTCTGGTGTGCTTGTGTTGGGCATTGCAGGCAGAAGCTGATACTGAGACAATATGGGTATTTGTAGGGTTTGGGAAGCAGGAGAATCAGCACTATGGGACTTTGGCACCTGTGGTCAAAGCCACCTGTATGTGGCAAAGACACACACACTCCTTACCATTAACAAAACTGCGTGTCTACTTCCCAAAGTCTGTAAGAGAAAAAAGAAGCTTCACTTTTGTTTTCTCTGCACAGCTTTAGCTTTGGCCTCTGTCAGCAGTAACAGAAAGTTATGTCTTTTGGCATGAGAGGATGTGCTGCTGCAGACCTGCAGAGGTCCCAATCAGGAGCAGCATTAATCAGCACCCCACAGAGGATGCCAGTGCGGAGTGAGCAGCCAGAGGCACTTGCAGCTGGGCACTGTGGGGCTGATGTGGGACGGAACTTTCCTGGGAGCAAGAGCCCACACCAGACTGCCACTGCACAAGCTGCTTGTGTTAGGTGTGTGATGTGGGACAGGCTCCAGCTGCACCTCCTCATGGACATAAGGAACGATGGTCCATTGGCCACTGCCTGCCAATGTCATTAATCACTTGCTAATGTGGTGAGTGTGCTTAAACTAGTATCAAAAATAAAAATGAGACAATGACTGATTGGAAAAGCATTTTCTTTATCCCTTATGAGCCACATAGAAGAAAATCTCCTGAATAATTTATCAGCCAGCTAATGACTGAATACAGCTTTTATAATGCTGACGAAATGGTGCTAAATTCATCCCTGATATACTCTATGGAATTACACCGGGGAGCAATTTGGCACAGTCAATAAATTGCAGACATTTTTAACTGTTTCAGTATCAAAGGAGCAGTGAGTAGGTAGCAGCAATAGCTAGTGTCTGAAGAAACCTTCATATTATTTGAAATGAGTGGGATTTTTTATTTCCTCATTTGTAATGTTAGTTCTAAAAACAATACAATTAGAAAAACTAATGAAGACTCTCATTTAGAAAACATTGCATGTAGCCCTTCATTGAAGATTAACTGTAGTCCCAGGAAATAATAACAAACAAGTCTAAAAAAAAATACCTTACACATTGAAATACAGCTCTTTCCTGTTGATTTATCTTCTAAAAGTAATTATTTGTTGTCGTTTCCCTTTCAAGCACAGGGAATGTAACTTGTCATCTATCAGAAGCTATTCATTAAAAGGAATTATTTTGGTGATTATAAACTTGCAAGAAAAGATACCAAAACTTAAGTGAAAGGAAAATGAACAAGCTAAACCTCTTCTTGTTCCTTATCCCCTCAAGATCTGGGTCCAAATTTTGTGAAAAAGATGTATTTAAAAAAGAAAAAAAAAAAAAGGAACTAAAAGATAAAAATAATTGAGTCAATTCTCTTGCTGCTGAGTCAACTCATTGCTTTATCAATGAAGGAAAAAGATTTTTCAAGCAGGATTTAGGGAGGAAGGTGTAGATATGGACAGCTCAGGAAAAGTGGCAATGGCAAAGACAGCTCACTTTGGCTAACTGGGAACAGTGAGAAGTTCTAATGACTGGACTTTTCTGTAACAGGCATTGAGTGCATAGTAATTTTTAATTTAAAATTAATTTCCTGGTAGTTTGTTCTTAATAAATACAAAAGTCACAGCATGGGGGGAAAAAAGAGTGGCCAAACCTCATCTTCTGAGGAATTAGGATGTTTCCACCCCTACCATGTCACGCCACTGTGTCTTAAAGTGTTACCATGTATCCACTACAAATTCTGGGAATCCGCTGAGTGCTTTGGAAGATGATGGATATTTCTGCTGCAAACTTCCATTGCCACTGTGCTTCTGCCACAATTATCATCATGCGCTAAACATAAATGCCAAGTTTCATGTCATAGTAAAACTGCACATTTTCTGTGTTCAGACTGAGCGGGGCAAAACCGCTGTCGTGTAGCGAGTTCTGCAAGCACTTTGGAGCTGGCATTTATGGGATCAGAAATGACGCTTAGCACATAAATTCGGCGTGACACAGACAGCACGTCTGGCTCACCACGCAGTTGTTTTACAAAAGCTCCAAATCCTCCAAATTTACAAGGATAGTAAATTTCTAAAACATACCAGTTACTAAACCGAAGAATTGGACATTTACAACTTGTGTTTCCCCACGGATATTCCCCGCCGAACATAAATCCCGACGTGCGTCACAGCTGCTCCCCTCGTAGGAGACTTTCCTCGCCTCAGCGAGCAGAGACAAAGCAACGGCAAATGCTCCCGGGCCTTCGTGGCATCCCTTCCAAATGCCACGGCTGGGGTGTGACCGGAGCCACCCCTCGCTGCGTTCTGCTGCCCCTCGCTGCTCCCGTTCTGGGTGAAAAGTGCCGGCTTTCGGCGCCTCCGCGGCCTCGGCGCCTCAGGCGGCGCAGCGCTGCCCCCCGGCGGCCGCGCGGCCCCGCTCTGCCCTGAGGGCGGGCGCTGAGGGGCCTCAGGCGCCTCCGGCAAAGCGGGACAGAGACAGGGACCGGCGCTCACCTCCCCACGGGCTTCGCCCTGGGTCCCGTGGCCGTGTATTGGAGATCAGCTTGGGGGCGTTTAGGTGTGTATTTGCCAGATATTTCACCCAGTGAGTCCCCTCGGGGGCGAGGATTAGCGGCTGGAGACTGGGCAGCCGTGTGTCCTCACGGAGCCGTGTGTCCTCACGGAGCCGTGTGCGTGGAAGGGCTGCGGGCAGGGCTGGGGGGGCTGACACTCCCCTGGCTGCAGAATGAGAGCCGTGGGGTTTTGGTGCTGGGGTTCCTGGCGGCAGCGCTGGAGTTCTCCTCCTGTGCATGCACGGAACTGAGAAAAGGGGTTTATAAATCCGCAGACAGATTTTTGCGGCCAAAAGGGACCATCAGACAATCTCGCCTCATTTTTTGCATAGCGAAGGCTGCAGAGTTTGGCTCAGATCTGCACTGAACTTCTAATTTGCTTACTAAAATCATCCTCCCCAGAAAAGCATCTACCCTTGATATGATGAGTAGCAAGAGTTGGGGAACTCACCACATCTCTTGAAGTTTTGCCACAGTAACTTATAACTGTCACAATTAAAACGTGCTCCTGCAATATAATTTGATTTTTTGTCTGGCTCCTGTGGCTGCACACAGGTCTCAATCATTCTGTCCTTAAAGTGAAGGGGTCTTGAATCCCTCTTTTTGTCTTTTCTGAAAGTTTTTATGTGACAATCAGCTCATCTCTCACTTTTTTGATAACATGCACAGACTGAACTTGCCAGCTCTCACTGTATTGTGCTTTCTCCAGCACTCAAATCACTTTTTACAACCTCTCCAATTTATCAACGTGCTTTTGAAGTTACTCTGCTAAGGAGTGAGTATACAGAGAGGAATGTGCGGTGCCACTAACTAGCTAGCACTAGCACTAACTAGTATTATCAAATACCATTAAGAAACTGGAATTTACTTACCAGATGCTGCACTTTGTAGTAGAATTGGCTACGACTAGGCTGGTAGTAGTTTTTTGGCCTTGAATTACAAATCTTGCATGTTTAAAAGCCAATATGTAAGATAAAAGCTTCCTGCCTAGGCTTGGGCTGCTACGTCAGAGAGCTCTGCAGGTGTCTGATCGAGAGGCTTGCAGACAAAGAGTTGTTCCTGAGGGAACAGAGACTTTGGACTATGCTTCAGTGCCTGAAATAGTTCAATGCAGATGTTTGATATACTCAGAAAGGGCTTTTTAGGACTAAACAGAACCAGCAAACTGTGGTCTTGGAGTCAGGAGAAGATTTCCATTGCTGTCTGGTCTAGGGGAGCTGCTCTGTTTAGTTTTGTGGGATAGTGTTCAAGTGCCAGCAGCATTCAGGTACAAGGTTTGTCTCACAGCTCTTAGGAATATAAGACCTCAGTTCTCTGTATAAGCTTTAAAATTTTAATTTGCTTGTTTTACCCCACTCTTGCTGAACAAGCTTTTCCTGCAGATTTTCTCTGCCCTTTCTGGGGTTAAGTTTTGTCTTGTCAGTGGCTTGCTCTTGGTTGAAAGTTTCCTCATTCCTTTGAGGCAGAAGCTTCAGATATTCCCTAGCTCCAGATATTAACCAGACAGGGGTTTAGATCCACAAGCCATCAGGAATAGAAAGGCATGTACGCAAAAGTTTGGGCAGTTGACCTGTTGCAGGACTTTGCTGAAAATCTTAGAGGCTGAGTAGCAATTTCAAAACATATTTTCAAGCACTCTGCTGTTGAAAATTCCCACTTGAATTCCTCTCTGTGGTCAGATCAATGAAAGCAGTACATGGGGGTATCTGATGGACTAAATGGAGTGATTTGTCTCCAAGCTGTTCCTGCCTGTATGTTAAGGGTCTGTATGTTAAGAGTGAAACATTTGAGAATCTGCTCATTTCTGGGTCTTATTCAGTCATGTCTGAAGGTTTGAAAAAGAAGGGCAATCAACCCCCTCCCTTCTGCAGCATAGAAATCAGATGATAATGTGATTCCAGTTAAATACCTACCCAGATAACTGCCTGATAACACCAAACTAGCTGGTGGTTCCAGCCAGAGCTGACTTGTTGCTTTCAGCAGCACTTTCTGACGTGATGCTGTTTGTGCCTAATTGCACAAAAGTTGGTTCATGGCTTGTGTCCAGGCTCTCCCACCATCCCCATTTCCTGTTATTGGCTCATGTTTCAGTTTGGCTGCAGGCAAATCAACTGTGTTTTCTCAAGCAGGAAAAATCAAACCCCACATGGGGACGAGCTTGACGCTGAAGCGTGCCCTGCCAAGCACTCGGACCTTCAGGCAGTTTGGGCCAGTGACTTGAAGACACATTTGGCCATGGCTAACAGAGACACCCTGGGATACAGCTTGTGCAACTTCAGTGTGTGGCCACTCCCAGCTAACCAATTTCCTGAGCTTTTCCTTGTCTACTTACCAGAGTTATCTCTTTTCATAAGAATTTCCAAACTTTAAATGCTTCCTTCTGCACTGATAAAAGGCAGTGGAACAAGACAGAAAAATTGTACTTTCATAGTCTTTTTATGCTTTCATAACTGCTATTTTTATACCATTTCAGAGAATTGTCTTGTTCTGATATTTCACTGGAACATAGAAGATCAAATTGAAGAGCATCACATCCTAGTGATTTTGTGTAATAAATAAGCTGAGGCATAATTTTTGTGATTTACAAAGTCAGCAGCCACCTGATATTTGTAATGTACATGTGATTAACATCAATATTTGAATATCTAGATAGCCTATACCCTAATATATATGATCTGTAGATTGCTCTTACGTCAGCTGACTTGCATTACTCTGCGCCTACCAGTCATTAATATCGCCTCAGTCTCTCCATAAAAGTAAATGTAACATATCTAATTGCAGGTCCAGCTTCTGATTATGTGAAAAGCATGGACAAAAACTAAAGATCTTGTATATATGTGCTCTTCCACTGGGGCATAGGCAGAAGAGATTCTAGAGGGCTGTTGTGCAGCAGCCATGCAGAGATGGGTAGGAGAGGGTCTTGTGTTTGCTGCTTACAGTGCGTCCTGCCACTGGGGATCAGACATGGAACAGGACAAGAGCCTGTTGCTTGGTCTTCCTCTTTTTGCCCTGCTTTGTCACTAAGGAGACAAAGGTGTTGTGATGGAAGTATTGCTAGCGTAACAAATGAGGTGTGCCACAGCTAGAAGCAGAGACCAGTTAACAAATAATGGTAAACTTATTTTACTAAGGCTCACCACACTTTTAGGGCATCCTCAGGTCCCACAGAGTTACAGGGCTGAGAAGAGCAAGGACAGTGGCAGGAGCCTGGAAATGGAGAGGGAGGCTGAGGAAAAAGGATGAAGGGAAAATTAGAAGTGCAGATCCAGCCTTCTGCTTGCCAGCTGTGCCTACACCTACACCATCATCTACAGTAAGATCACCTCTGTACCCATAGGAGAAACAGTAAAGTGAAGGTTTACTTAGTGTGAACAAAAATCAGATGTTAAATGGAATGGATGCTTAAAAGCCTTGTGCTTTTACCTGCCTATCTGGTGAAGTGATTGTACCCAGAGCAGATCTTTAGCTTTTCTCTCTCCACCCTTTCTGTGCACTCCCACTTACCAGGTAGGTACCTCTTTGTACTGAACACTGTGAGCCCTGGTCTGTGCTTGGGGCTGCTATTATCAGCTTTAGAAGGCTGTTGATAACTTTGGTGACTTGGTTTTGATTGAATCAAGAATAAATGAGCCAGAAAAATACATGGAATATGTTATTCGAATTTGTAGGACACAAAAGAATTCTCCAATAAGGACAAGCAATCATATGCTGTATTCCCAGCTAAATATAGAATCAGTGAATTTTTGAACAAAAAATAAATCCCTTTAAAAGGAGACTGACAGTAGTGCCAGATCACTCAAATCCCAACAACAACAACAAATATATTACAAAACCCAAAAAAGAGCGAGATGAGGGAGCTGGGGCCCAAGGCAAGCTGCAATTGTTTCGCCTCTTCTGGAGATAGAAATACCTTTGTCTCAGAGGAAATAGAGCAGACATTCTTTGTAGCTGATTTCCTTCTGACTTCCTCTGTGCTAGAGATTCATGTTTTCCTAGAGCTTTTTGGGAAACTAAACCTTTCTGCTGTGATTTCACACTTCAGTAGCTTAAGTCCAGCTAGTTCTCAATATCAAATTTTGCTGATGTTAACAAAAAAAAAAACCCAAAACCCTACCTAAACTTCTCTTTACTTTCCCTAGCAGACCATTTCACCCCCTTCAGAATATTCATGCACTCCAGCTTGTGCTTTCCTTTATGACCAAGCTGAATATTTAAGTTGCTGGTGGCAAAGTTCATGTTTGCATTGTTTTCTCCACTATTTAGTCTGGCATCTGTTTCAGTATCACTGCTTTGTGTTAGAATTAGCAAGGAAAAAAAGAAGCATATTTATGCAGTACAATATGTTTCTTAATCATTTCCAGATGGCAGATCCCATCCTTCCTTTCCTTATGATTCACTGAAACTCAAAACACTGTATGGAGTGGTCTGGAGGTGAAGAAATAGGAATGAAAATCTCCTCAGGGAAAGGTTGGTATGATTTGCTTTTCATGAAAAATCTGTCAAAGGAAAAAGAAACTTTCAAAATAGGATCTGAATTGGTAATCACTAAGGGAGGAATTTATTAATCACATTGAATGCAGGAAATGGACTAGTAAACTGTGTGATGATAAGATCATCATCGCAATCTCATGAAAATGGACTTTCAGACGTTGCCCATTTAAAATCAAATGTATTAACATATTTGTTCAATGTAATTTTTCCTCTCTATTTTAAGGAATATACCTAATTTTTTGAGGTCACAGCAGAACATTTACCCAGGCTGAGTTAGCCAGGCCAGGCAGCAGCAGCTTCTGCTGTAAGATCCAGAGAGATGTGTAAGGATTCATCCACAGAGTGCTGCTGTTGTTTGGCTGACATCTTTCCACTTCACTGAAAACTGCCTTACTAAGGAGTTAGTAAAAATCTTTTCCAGGCAGTGGAGATGCTGAGATTCCCAGCATGTGAAGAAGCAGATTATAAAGCTGAACAATACTAGAGACATTCTGCAGAGTGGGGTGTCTGAGTGCAAAGAGGGTCTTGTGTCCCTCTTCACAGTTCTGTTTGACAAAAGCCATTTAAGAAAATGTATAGATCCTTATTCCCAGATGTTAAAGAAATATTCTCTCAGCTGTTCTGGTCACTCTTGGCCTCTGATTTTCAAGCACAGATATGATAAGTGAATTTGTATTGGCTGGTATAGTGCCAAGAAATCAAGCTGAAAGAGACTTTGTGACAAAGTTGATTTGTTTTTCCAATGAAAGTCATCTCCATGAGCTTCAGACAATAAAATGACACACAGTTGCCATCCTACTTTTCAGAATTTGGCAAGAACTCTTTTCCTGGTATTATGAAGATGAAAATGTGTTTATTTCTACATGTAAGATTTATTTATTACCTTTCACTTCCATTTCCCATTCATCTATCAGTCCAGGAAAAGAGCATGTCAGTATAAAACAAACAAAATACATGATATGTGGGTGGCTCCAGATTTACTGCAGATTCCCTACAAAAGCCTTCATTGTGAAATACCCCTGTTTGGATGTGGTGAAAGCTGAGTTTCACAGATTCCTGCTGCTCTCCATTTGGATGACAGTGCTGTAGTCTTTAAATGACCAGCATGATTCAGTATGTTTTGGTTTCTGTCTTGTTTCTTTTTGTGCCTCTGATAACTAACTTAGCCTGGGTAAATAGCCTCAGTAGCACTATCTTCTTCAAATATAGAAGTATCTCCCATTTAGCCTGCAGATGTATTTTACTTTGCCCTCAGTGGGACATCCAGAGAAATTAAAGGCCTCAGTGTTTAACTCTTCCATAATCTCACTTTTGCAGAGGGGACATGAAGCTTGACAGATATTATAGAAAAATAATAGTCAGTTAGCAAGGCTTGCAAGACTTGATTTTGTGATTGCAGCTGCTGTGAACTGGCCATTTTCAGGGTACAAAACTGCAAGCCTGAAAGGAAAAATAAAAAGAAATTCAAATTTTGTACCATCTTTAGTTGTGGAAGAGATGATTTACAACATAGGCACAGTTGTCGCCCAAGACTCCCTGTTTCTAACTTCTGGAAAGATACTTATTTGATAAATTTGCAGACTGTGTGTGGTCTCTATTCTTCTTTTCCTGGCACAGATCCTGTTAAATATACAGAGAGTCAAATGCTTGTTGTGGCCTCCCTGCATGGTGGCCAGCTGGAGAGCCATGGTGTAACAAAGCACACTTCTCCCTGCAGCCAGTTACCTCTGCAGGAACTCACTGGGGACACTTGAGACCTGCTCTGCTCTCACTGACTGCAGCCCAGCAGATATATGGATATCTCTCTCAACACACTGCCAAAGGGGGCTTTTATGAGCAGGCAGGGAAGATTTAGTATTGAACAGGTCTGTCGGTGCCATGGTAAAGTTATCTTCATCTCCACGATGAAAAGCAATGGTGCATTTTGATGTTATTTCAAGTCAGGTTACTTTTGGGTATTTCAAGTAGATGAGCTTGAAATTTAATAACAGAAAACATTTCCTGAAAGTAGATGAGGAAAAGACATCCAATAGTTACCAATTTTTGGATGTTGTGGAGTATATGTAGGGATATAAGAAAGTAAAAGGAAAAAATAAGGGAGAAGAGAGGAGCGCTTTTGTGAGAGACTGGGTCAACTGGGAAGATGCTGCTAAATGGTTTTGCAGGAGCTACTGTCACTGGACAAATTACTCAAGTGTAATTTGCAGGTATAGCTGATATTTTTTGGCATTTAATGTATTACAATTGCTGCAAGAAGTGCATCTTTCTATGAATGCACCCTGCTACCAATTATGAATTTACCTCAGAAGTAAAAAGCAGGTATCAAAATGAGGGCAAGGAGGAATTTAAGTGATATGGTAAAAAAAATTCACAGAGGTACCAAGATTTCTGCTGTATGTTCTTGAGTACACATCTTCCTACTTCAGATGTCTGGGTTGTGGATTTCTTTATTCAAGAATGCCTGGCCATTGACAGTTTCCCAGTTTCTCAGTATCTACCTTTCAAATTTAAAATGAGATCAAGAATTCAAGAAATCTCCTCAGAACATGTTTGTTGCAGCTCATGCTGATTTTGACAGCTCCCACAAGGAAAGGGGATCACCTTCTCCCAGTGCATTTATAGACATATCCAAAATGCAGTTATTCAGGCAATTTTGCTCCTCAGGGTATCCTGGTGTGTTGATATGGGAGAATCTGAGATCTTTTGCTGCAGCAGATTGCTGTTACTTTTCTTAGCAGAAAATCTCTGAACCCCAGATTTAAAACTTCAGTGATGGAAGGCAGAAGAAACATAAATCTTCTCTATCAAATAAAGAATTCCCTGAAGTATGCTGTGAATAACAATTGTGTAGGAAGAGACTATCAGGGAATGAGAGGGATAAATGCTTCTGAGGAAACCAGGAGCCTTTACAGTCTGAGACTGCTCCAACAATAAATACGCAATCAGTTCAAATTATATGGCCAGCTCTTAAATAGCGTCAGTGTATTTTGGCACGAGGGACGAGTTTAAATGCATTAAGCTTTTCAGTGAGTAGTAATAATATGGCATTAGAACATTAAGAACAGGATGAGCTTTGCCAAACCTTTGCTTTAGCTTTTTGCCTAAAGGCATGTTTAAAAGGTAATTTCAGTGTGGTTTTAACTGGCTGCAGTGCTAACCCAGGAAGGGAGAGGGAAAATCTGCAAGGGCTCTTGAAGTTTTGAGATCTTAGATTTTTGGATTACTGTCATAGTGGGATGCAGCTAGATTGTTATGTGAGCAGAACTTTGTTGCAGCTTGCATGTCTGTAAAGTGAAAGGAGTTTCCCCAAAAAACAAGAAGAAACAAAATAATATCTGTAGTATTTGTGTGCATATGCATGAGCCAGAACCTTTTATAGAGCAAAAGATAGCCCCTGTGCTCAGTACCTGTTAATGCTCCAGACTCTGTGGCTCTGCCACATGAGGCCCTCTTCAGTTTTACAAAATACCCTATTAGTCATTAGTTGCAGGCAGGACCCCAGTAACCTCTGGATCTGATAGTGGATAAAAGCTATGATTCATCAGATGGTTAAACACATGAAATCTCTAATGAACAGAGTCAAAAAGAGACAGAAAAGGGGGTTATGAGGGGGAAGGCAGTCTGGCCTTCACAGCACTGTGTCAACTCGATGTTGAAGAGAAGCAGTTTCCAAGGCATTTTGTAGCCAGAATCTAACACAGGCTTGAGGCTGTGATTCAGAATGGCTGGCACTAGCCTTGGGAATACTATTCCAGAAAATTCTTAAATTGGAAAACCAAACCTCCAACTGAGAACATGTTTTGACCTTTTATTTTTCAAGTGTTCCTGTTTGAGAGCACAGAACAGGCTTGTCGTCAGGTTCTGCCATCAATAGTTGTCTAAGGGCAATCACATCTGCTGTTGTGCAAAATTTCAAATTAATGTTCTACATTTTAAAATTTAATCAAGTTCAGGTTGTGATTTGGTTTAGTTCCAGAGTGAACTGTCTTGTGACCAATGTAACTGTTGACTGCTTTTGAATCATGATATCAGTGGATGTAGTATTGCTGTCATTCAAAGTAATTTCTATGGTCTAGTCATCTCAAAACTACACTCAAAACAATTTCTCCAAGAAACATTTTCAGAAAATCAAAGTTAATATTTTTTTTCTGGCTTAATGAAAATATTGTAAACTTCTCTAAAAGCCACCTCAACAGTGGTGTTATCAAATCAGGTTTTCAGCCTGCACACTCAGCAAAGGAGTACCAACACCTCCAGGTTTTATCCATTGAGATCAATTACTTTTAATGTAATTTAATTTAATTTAAAGAAGAAATTAGAAGAAATCGCAGCACTAGTTTATTTATTGTGATATCCAGATATCGGGTGTTGTATTCTGACTGTTGTATTCCTAGTTATTCAACAAAATGAGATACTTTTGTTGTCTTGAGGAGTTTTCCTACGTGCGTCACCACACTAATGGGCAGGCTTCACCTGGGGTTCCTTTAGATAGACTAAACAAAATTTTCAATAACATTGGCAGAGCAGTCCTTGGGACATAGAGTCAAAGACTTCTCATGATTTCTAAAATTATTCTGGACTCTTCCAGGATGTAAAACTCCATGGAATTACAGGTCACTTTGGAGCTGCTGAGGCCATGTTGTACATAGAACTGGTTTTCGGGTACCTTGGACTTTTTAGAAACTTTTCCATTATCTGAAGGTGAATTCATGTGGAATTCTTGCATTAAATTCTGGATGGATATTTTTATAATGTCTAGATTCATGTCAATTACTTTTTTTTCAGAAAGATGTTTTGCCTGAGAGAGCTCAAGCCTTAGTCAATGCCTCTGCAATCTAGAGATATTAGATATTTCCTTTGAATTCTAATCCAGAGAATAAAATATCAGTGTCTTTTGCAGTGTTCTATGGAAACATTTTGAATTACTGCTTCTGTGTTGAGGAGCCCATAGAAATATGTCCCTACAGTCCCAGAGCATAAGAGAATAAAACAATAATCAGAAAAAGAGATTAAACTATATTGCTCTCCAAGCCTTAACTTTTCATTTCTCCACTTTGAATTTAGTGTTTTAAAATTGCTTTTTTAGTGATATCTATCAAAGATCACATTTCTACATCTATCTATCTATCTATCTATCTATCTATCTATCTATCTATCTATCTATCTATCTACCATGACTGGTAAATCAAGTATGCAGACACTTGATCTGAAAAGAGAACATTTAGATATTTCATGGCCTATTCAGTACAGCCATAAGAACATTTAGTATGAGAACATATTGTTCAAAGCTGTAAAAAGAATAATATATCACACGAAATGACAGAATAAGGGCATTAGGCAGAATCAATATAAAGAATGAGGAGGAGAACATGCCAGAGATGATGTACAGATACCAGAACTCTGCTGTAATGGAATGTTTTTTGCCTGATAAACACAGTACAGAATTTTCTTCCATGAGATCTGGATTACTTTCCTTTTAATTTTTTTTCTTTTTTTTTTTTTTTAACACCACATCTGGGTAGAAGGGATGTTTTTTGGGAAAAAAAGCTTATTTTTGTTGGAAAAACATCTGATGCCTTACACAGTAAGGAGTCTTCTGTAGCTATACGTCTTGTGTGACTGTGACCTCTTTGGGGCAATGTCTCTTATCTCCTTCAGTATGTAAGATATACCTTATACAGTGGGGCTTTGTTCATCATTGCTTATCTTTTGCTTTGTCTACATTGAGCCTTTTAATGAAACATGGAGTCTGCTTGTTTGGTGTGCTGTGCAAAGAGCTGAGACAGCTTGTTCCAAAAGAAATGTGTAAAACAAATTCCCTCTTGGGGCCTCTGAGGTTTGTTCTTTCTCAAATGCTTCTATTTTATTTAAGTCCTTTCAAGTAAAAGCATGAAATAGTTCTTTATGCATGAAGAAATCAGTAGCTTTCTGGATTTTAACTTCAGTGAACAAAGATTTTTGCACCCTTTTTTGTCTCGCAAATGAAGCCAAAGCAATTGTATTTCTTAGAACATATTTTAGAACACCCACACCTTACCCTGTAATGACCTGGAAATGATTGTACAGGTGAAAGAACCCACGTGAAAAGCCTGAGTTTCATAATGATGGTAATAACAGAAATTCATGTGTTTCATAGGTATGTGGCCTGTGAAAAACAGCAAATTGCAGATTTTTCATGGTATTTTGTTTTTACAAGCAAGTCATTGAAAAAATTCTCTTTAAATCAATTCTTCTCTAGTTTTGTCCTAGGCTATTTCTTAGCAATTATGTTCTATTTTCCCTCAATTAATCTGAATCCATTGAAAGCAGTTCTAGGCTGTTTGCATCTGTATTCTCTTCTTGGGAAGAAAAGCCTCTTTTCACAGCTTGCCACCCAAGTTTTGGCAAAAGGTGAAATTGCAGCCATGAAAGGTCTTTTTGTCCTCCAATTTTGTTTCAGGTACATGCTTTCTGCTCTAGGACACTTGCAGAAGTTACTGATCAGCAAATGGTGCATCAGCTAATTCAAACCTGGAGATAAAATAAGCAAGGCAACAGTTTTTGTGAGTGTAAGAGAGATGAAATCAAACAGGCATTGAGGAGGTTTCAACGACACTCAAACAGGTGGAACAATGGCTGCAGCAAGCAGCCCAGTTCAAGACAAGGGACAAAGATAAGCAGTGATCTGTTGGTGATGGGTGAGCTCTGGTGAAGTTGGTTTGATGCCTATTAGAAATCTGCTATTGGAGAGATTTAAACAAATAAGGAAACAAACTCTAAAAGCAGAGATCTCTGCGATGTGTTGAAACCCTCTCTGCAAATGCCACATTCCTCTTCCTGGAGCTGCAGTGCTCCCAGTGTAATAGATGACAATGAAGGCAGAAGAGCAAGAAAGTCTTGAACTTCTGTACAGCACTGCTCTTCTCTGCTTTGTCCTCATGCCATTTCAGTGCTAGCAAGGCCAGTCCTCCTTCTGAAGATGTTGGCAGAATTTTTCTCCTCCCATTTCTTCCAATTTGAATCTTCTCTGGAGACAAGAGGCATAACTTCTGGAGGAAGGGAGAAATGAAAACACATATTTGGAAAATCCTTCACAGTATTCATGAAGTTTTTAAAGAGAAGACAAAGTAATGAGAGACAAAAGGGTGAGAACCTGGTGTGGACTTGAATATATTCCTGGGAGGAATGTCCCAGTGGATGCTGAAGTACTGCATGAAATAAAGGATATCTGCAAGTGATTTGTTATCTAGTATGCAGGATTGAGCTTTATTCCACTCAGTGATGTATGTGTAAGGACACCTGGTAAGTGGAAAATTTTAAAACAAGAGAGTTTCCAGAGTGTTCTTTCAGATATTTTTTGCCTATTACCAATTGCCCAGAAATTGTTTCCTGCGTGTGCTTTGTTTTTAAATGCATAGAAATAACAATTCACTTTCCATATCTCCATTTTGACAATTCAGAGAGAGGAAGAATGTGTGCAAGGTACAAGGTACAATCTAAATTGTTTAGTACAACAACAAAGATTTAGAGTCAACTCTAAATCTGCTCTTTAGAGCTTCTCAAGTGCCAGGTACAACACAATAACATGAACTCATAAGAGGGCATGAATGAAATAGGAATGTTGGCACTAATAAATCTGGGCTATCTGTCCCATTAAGATTAGAGAAAGTTGTCTTAACTGTGGGTATCTGTGTATCCTACTTATAGCAAAATGGCAGATACAGAGTTTGGAGACTTCCATCTATAACAATATAGTAATATTCCTGCAGGAGAAACATAAAGCATCTTGGGAAGGCCATTGTGTATGCAGCTGGTACAGGTTTTTAAAGAAGCTTAGTTTTCTGATACACTTAATGTCATATAACCCTGAAGAGAGCGGGAAGGAAATACATCCCTCCAGGTGTTATCCAGGAGAGCTTGTTCCTGGTGACATTACAGCTCCTGACCTAGAAGCTGCTGTGACAGTAGAAGGGCAGGCTGGTGACAATCTAATAGAAAAAGCACAGTTTGTCCAGAGAAAGAGTCTTCCACATTGAGATTTTCAAGGCATGAGGCTTTTCCATTCTTCATTGACCAAACTGGGCACAGAACATGTGCAGCACTTTGTCCAAAAAGTTCTCCTGAGACACAGAGGTGGCTTTTATGTTAGTTCCAATTATGTTGGCAGTACATGGTGTTTATGAGCAACAAGATTGCTGTAGGACAAGAAATGTTTTTAATGAAAGTGCTTAGTCCCTGAAGCAATGGTTTTGTGATTGCCTGGCAAGGACATCTCTGCCCCAGAGCTTTCCACTGGAAACCTGAAAAAATTCTGTGAGTGGTAAATGCTGTAAAAGACTTGACTTTTGCTCAGTTTTTAGGGATTCTGTGCTTTCAAAGTAAGCAATGTTTCTTCAATAATATTATGACACACAGAAGAACTGGGAACAAAATGATCTTTATTTACTGGCTGTAGTAATGTGACATGGGCTGAGGTTACAGCCAGTTACACTTCATCCAGGGGCTCTTACAGTTATTGTACAAAAGCTTTATCCTTGCTATCATCAGGATGGTGCTGAATTAAATTTTTCCTATTCTCACAGTGTTGCAGCCAACAAGGCCTCTATCATTCTGCCAGACACACTGGAATTGTATTGTGTGGTTTAAAGCAGATTCAATGAGAACCTTTAGTCCACATAGAAAATTTAGATTAGATTTATTCCAGTCTAAACCAATACCACGGTGCGAAAAACCAGAGTAAGCAGGTGCATGTTTGCAAACTGAGCACAACATACATGAGTTTACAAAGTATAAAAAAACAACAAAAAAATCCTATCATTTTACTGAGGCTATATTTACAGGCCACCAGGCACTTTCCTCTCTCCTGAGAGTTTGGAGATAGTCTTCAAATGATCCTTAGCTTTACAAGGCATAAAAATAAACTTGGAGCTAATACAGGCAGATTCCTGCCAGGGTTTTTCTTCACTCTGCCCTATGTAACTATGAGTGCAAACCAGAGCCAAAGTTTTTGGCTGTGAAAAGAAGAGCTTATGAAAACAGTACCACAACATTTTGTTCAGGGTGTGTGGCCACAGTCAAGTTAAAAGAATAGCATCAGTATTATTACAATAAGCTGTCTACACAAAGAATTAGCTGAAGTAAAATGGTAATTTTTTAAGAGTGAACATTTGCAGTAGGACTGGTCTGTATGTTCAAGAATAATTATTGCAGTAGATGAGAAAATGAAGGATCAACCACTGTTACAGATTCCTGAATGTTACAGTTAAATTCCCATCTCTGTGTATGAACTTGTTCTGACAGAAGAGAGAGAGGCAGGATTTCTCCTTTTTCAGTTCCAGGTAATGTAAGAGCAGCTTGCTGAAGACCAAGGCATTTTCCAGCCTGCAGATATCTGAACCTGTGTCCACCAGGATCCGGCAAGCACATCCTTGCAGCCACATGTCATAACAGTCCTCTTCCTCAGGGATCTGCTGTGATAAGGTGTGCTAAGCAATGCACAAGTTTCCCCTTACCTAAAACAGCAAGAAAACAACTGGGAAAGGAAAGGTCTGTACTGCTCCAGAAGAGTAGCAGCAGCTCATGTATCTCCAGGGCCTTTTTCAAATGTTGGCATTTTAAGTAAAGAATTTGTTCTTCCACAATTAATCCAATCCTATAAACAACCAGTATCTAAATCTGGTGGATAATTCTTATTCTACAACACAGGAGAATTCAGAAACACAGGAAAAAAGACAAATTGGGTAAAAAGATTAACCATAATGATACTGTTCAGGGAGAATGAATGACTGTAACATGGCCCGAAAAATCCGATACTGAAAAAATGAGTTTATTTTGTATCACAGTGATATCCTCCACAAAGAAACTATTTCCTGATGTGGCAATTAGTTACAGTGGAATAAAGGTTGCGCATCTAAAGGGTTGTCTCAGTGGTTTTCACTGAACTATTTCCTAGGGTGAGTAAAAAAAATATCAAGCTGGTCCCATCCTGTCCAAATATTTGTTGTCCAGTTTGAAACTGTGTTTCCATTCTTCTTAGAAACATCTCATTTTTTTAAATTGCTTTTCTTTTTTCTTTGCTTTCCACCATTAAGACCTTCTGGCACTAGAACTTTATATTACTGAACGATTAACAAGGTTGAATGTTCCAGTCCTTCCACATAGCAAAAGGCAATACCCAAATTTGCTTCAAGCTGCACAGGATCACAGAGTGAGTAATTTCTGCAGAGTGTTCTCTGGCTGCTGCTAAACCAGCAATGAAGCAAGCTAATGTTGACTAGACACTTTTCACCTGCCTGCCTGAGGACAGACACACCAACACTTTCCTAGAACCAATAATATTTGGATATCTGACAGATGGAAATGTTCTGAAGATATGTGGCAAACTGCCCATCAAACAGGCAGCTAAGTTTTACTGATATCAGGATTTAAACCCACATGGACTTTTGCAGCAGCCCCAAAATGCTGCAGTTGCAGAAACACAGCAAGAAGCAGGCTTATTAGAAGAATACTAGAAGAAGAAGAACACTAGGCTGAGAAGAAGGGTGGGAAGCAGCAGCACTCCTGAGCACTTGGAGGCAGAGAAGAAATGAGGGAATGGTGGGCAGCTGGACATGCTGACTTGAGCCCAGAGTGATCTTCTCTTCCCCAGGACTGTCCTCGGCTTCCTTCAGCAATGGCAGCTTTCAGAAGGACACTGCACAAAACCCATCCTTCAATCAGGTTAACTTTTCTCATTGCTACCTATAGCAGTAAAGCCATAGGAAGATCTTGGGGTAAAAAAGCCATGAGATCCCACTCCTGAAAGAGTGTACCAAATATGCCTCAGTTTATGGAACAGCCGTGGGGATCCTGGTGGGACTAATAGTAATTGTTTGGCCACATGCCTGGGAGAAAAACAGATTAAAAAATTGTTACTTTTAAAATAAACCAAGAATTTACATCTCTTTCAAACTAAGCCAAAGCTCTTTGAAGCACAGAAAAGTCAAAATAGGTTTTTCTATGGTTTCCTCTCTTCTCTCATTTCAAGGCAATGTTTCAGTTAGCTGAACTGTACTTGGTACTTGTATGGATAGGAGCCAGCTGCCAAGAATCTGTAAAGATTGACAGCAACTGGAGAGGAAATTGGGAGAGGAAAATAAAATCATGCTTCCTCAACATTTTTAATGAAGCACAGCAAATTTAGAATGACAAATGCATGTAGAGACTTGTTATTCAAAAGCCTACATTAGTCCCCAGACTAGAGGAATGGGAAAATCATAATTTATTTAGAGAAAATTATCTTGTGAAATCATTTAGGTCCTGATTTATTCAGATAACCCAAGATGGTTTTGGCATCTGCAGTTATTCTTGGCACAAAAGGACCCTGGCCTGGTTCATAACTCCCATTGCCCTCCTAGCAGATATCTTTTATGGAAGCAACAATATTTTTGAGGGAGTTTCATGGTCTGAGGAGCAGTCAGGGAATGCTCCAAGACAATCATGTGTGAGTTGAATAGTGTGGTGCCCCCTCCAAAGTAATCACAGTGCCATGAACAGTGAATGTCCTGAGTTAAAATTAATTCAGAATGGTTTTGCAAATCAGTGTGATGCCCTTCACATGGTTATACACACCAGCAGCAGTTGCTGTAGCTGCTAAAAATCTGTGTTTTGTTTTACACTCAGCTCTTCTGGACAAAAAGGAAGTCATTTACTCCTTATCTCAATGGTATTGGTTTTGCAGACTTTAATTATGGAAGAGATTTCTTGGAACAGGGTTTCAATCTCATGGAGGCTGCAACATGGCAAGGAAACTGCATTCATCACCTTGGGGATGTCACCTCCTGTGTCTGGTGGGGTGAAGGCGTCCCCGTCCTTTTGAGTTGTCCCTGGTGTTTGGCTGGAAAAGGACTGCACCCCATCAGCGGCTTCTCATATGTTCTTGTGTACAGTTGGTACAAAATGCAAGGAGAAAATACAAAATGTCCAAAATAACCTCTAGAACTGTCAAATTGAGCAATTATCCCTCAATCACAAAACAGTTTATTTGTGTGCTCAGGGCTTTTGGTTTGTGCTTTAAGGGTTTGAGTCCACTTCCAAAAGAAGCAGAGGGATGCACCCACTTTTAACTGCTGGAGACAACAACTGGGAGAATTAACAAAAGGAAAGTGGAAAGAAAAGTAAACCCAGGAAAATACTCTAACAAACTGATCACTCCTCTCTACTGTTTGTGTAAGCACAGCCTAAAAAAGCTCACCAAGCCACATTTTCAACAGGAAGCAATGAAATTATTCTATTGACATTCAGACCATATCAAAAGAACTTTTTCTGCATTTTCATGAGGGTTTGTTTTTCAAAGGAAATATTAATGAAATGTATTGCAAACATAAGGCCTGCTTCTGCTTGAACTTTTTCTGTGAGCATGGATGTGTTCCAACACTGTTAAAGTAAATGGGAGGAGTATCACAGTGACAGGATGGGTCTGGACCCACAGGAAAATCCAGCAAGTACTGGCAAGCTGACAGAGGAGCTGTGCTTAGTAAGGTCATTTGTAACCACTCCATGATGTGTGCAGCTGTGCAGTAGCTCTGTTGCAGAATCAGATCTATAAACCAGACACTATAAATATAGTGTACTATATTTGTAATATAAATATTATATATATATTATAGGCCACTGCCGGGAGAAGAGGGTTTTGAACTTTCTGGATTTGATAATTTGTAACACTTAAAATGGTTGTGCATTATTTCTCCAAACTGTAAAATTGTAAATTATATTATTTTATAGTTATTATCATATTTATTTAGAGGTATTATCATGTTTCTTGTGGTTCTTCTTACGGTTTCTTATCACAGCCATGATACTAAGGAGCATTTAGAGGATGTACTTTGGTCTCTGCCTTTCCAGAGTGTTATTTAGACTTAGTTTTCAATGGGTTTTTTGCTAATTAGAGATGCAGATACGAATTACGGCACATGGGCTATGTCAAATACTTTTGAGTTCAAGCATGAGACTCTGACTTCAGGGGATGTTAAATGAGTTACTTTGGCCAAACGCTGAAATTTCAGTGTTTTCTTGTGAAGTGTTGAAATGCAGGAATCAGTCCCAGATCAGATCCAGTTCTCTTGACTGTTTTTCATCCTTGGCTCAGCCTTTGAACAGCTTCTGTTGAACATACAATGTTTGCTACCATCTCCAGCATGAACAGAGTTGGCTAATTTCTGCGTAGTTGTAGTATGAACAGTCTGGAAAATGAAATTCAGAAGTGAATATTCTTTTTTGAGTTGTCAGACTGCTTACAAAAACACAGCCTTGTGTGAAGAAGTGGTGTTCCATAAAAATAAGCACATACACTATGAACTGTGGTTGGCAATATTTAATAAATGCTGTGGTTTAGGCAAGGAACATATGTTTTGTGTGAGAGATTTTCCTTTAGTCCTAAGTTAAACAATGCTATTTCTTGTGGACTTTCAAGAAGAAATCTGTGCAGGATTAAAACTTTCTATTGTTTGCTATCTTTTTCCACCCTTCATTTTCCCTGAAGAATGAGCTTCAGAGTGCCTAATTCTCACTTCCAGACAAATTAAGAAAGGGAAAAAAAAGCCCTTTTTTTATTACAGATATTTTGTAGCTCAAGTATTCATACAATAGAAGCATCAGCTCAGAGAATTTGGAAATCTGAACGAAATATCTGCTAAGAAATGAGCAACAGTAATCAACTAGCACATTATCTGAAAAAGTAAATTATGTGTCCAGCCAGACTAACTATGTTAAAATGAGTGGCAGAAGAAGATGTTAAGATTTTTTCTTTATGACCTTCATGGTATGTGTTGATTTTTTTGGCACTGCCCCAGGTCCCAAGTGTATGCAGTTGAACAAGGGAAAAGGCAGGAGATTTTATTGACTCATAATATGGCTTGCTGTAGTGTTCTGAGAGAAAACAAAAGGCTTATGTTAGCTATAAGGTACTGTAATATATATTTAACTGGTATAAATTATAAGGTTGTCTCTCCTTAAGAGTGTAACATATAAGGTTGTTCCAGAGAGAGTCTGAAGTGAAAAATGATCAAAGCACTGTCCAAAGCAGACAAATTCATCAAACCAACCCAGTTATTAAAAGAACACAAACTTGTGTATGAGTTATTTGCTCCTGCTCAGTTTGAACAAAGGCTGCTAACCATTTCCAGTCTGAGATGAAGGGTAATTTTGTACTGAAGACAAGCACCATGGCACGTGATGGATTGCAGAATGGATCAGGTAACTTGATTCAGTTTTTCTCCTTGATACTGTTTCCAGCCAAGCTTTCTGAGAGGCTGAGAAGCATCGTTTTCTACAACAGTTGGGTTCATTTTGACTTAATATACTGTGGGATTAGTATCAGTACAGATAACTTCCAGAAATCAGGCTTCCTGTATCTCTCTTCTGTCCTGAAACTTACCTCTTGGTGTCCTTGAGCACCAGCAGAGCTTGATACAGCGGATGCACCAAACTGTCATGGTGCGTGACAAGTTTTGTGCATGGACAGATCACTGTGTCAGGTCTTTTGACATTGTTCAAAATAGAAAATCTTCTGTCAGAGGGAAGTTGCAACATCACTTCTGGGCTTTGATGGGTCTTTACAGTGCCTTCAGAAGGAGGCAGCAAAGGCTGAAGACTGGAGTGGAGCCGCTGTGTAGCAGCTTGGTGTGTCAGAGACCGGCTGCATGGGGACAGCAGTGGTTGCTCTGGGACAGGCAAAGGGCAACTCCATGAGACCAGACAGAAGGCCTTGGTTGTGTAATGATGACTCTGGGGTACCAACATCTTAGATTCTCATAAAACCTATGTTACCTCTTCCAAGCATCAAGAAAATAGTACTTCTTAGGAAAAACTGTAATTTGTCCCATGCACTAATAATTTTTAGACTGGAATTGATATGTGACCAAAGTATAAGGGGCTCA